CAGATTACATAGACAGCGACAGGACCCGTTTCACAGGGCAAGTCAGGTCTGTGTGTGTGTGTGTGTGTGTGTGTGTGTGTGTGTGTGTGTCCACAGTCGCAATCTTCTGTCCAGTTTACCCCCATCGGTGTTTCAGCTTCCCCTCCTGCGAGTGCTCATAGTGAGCAACAACAAGCTGTGTTCACTACCTGCCTCCATATACTCCCTCACACACCTCCGGCAGCTGGTATGATTCACACACACGCCGATTTCTAGGATTCCTCCAATTCAAATAGCTCTGTTAGCATGACCATAATGACATACAGTATTGCCAAAGCTTCGTACTATTACGTCATCTATACATAAATATACATTTGTAATGTACTGTTAAGTTTTCTTCGCTGGGAAAACCATATACTTTTTAAACATGAACTAGAAAATTAACTTACAAAAAGATTGGCTATAAAGCTATTGATTATAGTGCAGGATAATGCTAATGGGAAAATGCATATAAAAAATAATAATAGAAATAAGAGTTGTGAGGCTCAGTCATTCTGATTCATGTTGTCAGGCAGACAGACTTCTTTCATTTCACCTAGTCAGATTTTTTAAAATCTTTTTTTCAAAAATAATTGAAGATGCCCATTATTGAATTTTGGCAAGAATGATTTCAATGCAGGTTTGAATTCAGGGCATTGTGTGAGGAAGTGCTGCTCTGTTTCCAAAGCAGTTCCTCCACACTGTTGGCATAATCGCTCCTCTTTCGGCAGCCATGTTTTCTTTTTGCCTGTTTCTATGGCCACGCAGCACTTTCTCAATATCACAGTACACAGTATTTGTGGGTCATAGACTTCTAAAAAGACACGTATTAAACATGGTGGTCAGTTTTGGAAATATATATGTTGCACTGTTGGAGGAGCCTGTGGCCGTTTCTCCATGTCGAGTAAACCTGCTGCAGAGCCACTGTTTCAAGTATACGACGTCATCGAGTGGCGCCGAAGGACTGTTTAAAACCATTTCAAATGCACAGCATTCGGCGCCACTCGATGACGTAGTATACTTGAAATAGTGGCTCTGCAGCAGGTATACTCGACATTGAGAAACGGCCTGTGACTTCAGTTTTTCATTGCTATATTTACACTGTAGCTAATTTCCAAATGACAATAAAGCCTTGAATTGAATATTGCCTGTGTGTGCTTCTCTCTCAGGATGTGAGCTGCAATGAGCTGCAGTGTTTGCCAGCAGAGCTCGGACAGCTGGAGTCTCTGAGGGATCTGAACCTGAGGAGGAACCAGCTCACCACTCTGCCTGAAGGTAGAGACTCATTGGAACATCCTTTGACCTCCTTTACATTTCTCTTTCCCACAATAAACCCAGGTCGATCATCTCAGCTCACATTGCACCAGTACAGCTTTTCTAAATGCCCGCTCAACTGACCCCAGAAACCTCAGCAATGTCTTTGTCCAGTCCCCATGGAGTGATTTGAAAAGACTTATCGATATATCATCTATAAATGTAGAATATAATAACAATATTTTATCCACTGAGCTCCCCTAAGCCTGCAAAGTATCTCCAACACCCTGCTCAAACCATAGCTCTCTAAACATAATGGATGCTAATGTAAAGGATCATTGCATCATTGTTTTGAGCTATGGATTATTTTCATGTAGAGGTATTGAGCAGCTTCCGACTTATTGACTAATGGCCCTTACTCAATTAGTGCCTCATTCTCTGGCTCATTAGAAGGAAATGTAAAGGAATACACTTTTGGAAGTACACAGACTTCAAGTGGACTGGCACCTCCTTTTTCTAAATTCAAACTTGGCCACAACTGTTAAAAGTAGCCTGTCCATCTCTGCACTGGTATTAGAGTTGTTGAATATGGTGGACATGTCTGACCCGGCGTTTGATTGATTTAGTGTTGGGAAATAACCTTTCCTGTTTCCTAAGTTAGCTGGACTTAAACATGTATAAAGATGGGGTAAAAAAACAAAACGTAAATGTAGTCGTAACAGCCATTATTTTGACAGCTCATATTGTAAGGTCATGAAGATGAACATTTGAACAGATGTTATTCCATCACCAAACATGACATGAGTCATGTGATACTCACTTTCTGACATCAAACATTATTTCTCATTGCCCCGCTTTGCTTGTTTTTCCCTGATTGCTGTTCAGCTACCGTCAATAAAACTCAACACTTCCTGTAGGTTTTCCACCTCAAACACCCTTCCAGGAAATGACGCTTTTTATTTGAAACATCTGTGAAGGAGTTGCTGAATATTTGCAGCTGACAGAGGTTAAAGAGGCAGTCGAAAAACTATAGGAAGTTGCAATTACAAATAAATAAAGTGCTAAAATGTCTAAGTTTCATTTATTGGCGATATGTGTAAAAGTAAGAATTAATATGAAATGACGCTGTCCTTTGACATGTGGCTGATAAAAAATGTCTCTATATAACATCCATATGTATATATGGGATTTGATAAATAAATTGATGTTTTGTTAAGGATCACCAATTTGAAGCCCCAATGAGACTGACTGATTCTGTCTTTCTGTACCATCCAGAAATATCCGAGCTCCCTCTGGTCCGGCTCGATGTGTCCTGCAACCGCATTTCCCATGTGCCTCTGTGCTACCGCCACCTGCGGCACCTGCAGACCGTCCTGCTGGACAACAACCCGCTGCAGATGCCCCCGGCGCAGATCTGCTCCAAGGGAAAATACCACATCTTCAAGTATCTCAACATGGAGGCCTGCAAGAGAAACCAGGAGGAGCTGGAGAGACACCTGAGGCCCACCGGGTTCAACAGCTGGTGAGGATGACGAGGAGAGGGGGAGGAACTAAAGGTGGAATGCAGAGGAAAGGCAATTAAAAAAGGAGCTTGTTAGGGAGGAGCAGGGAGGATGAAGCTGGAGATGTGGTACTAACGAGATGGAAAAGCTGCTTGTCAAGAAATAGTCCTGGCACTGAACTCGGACTACAGCTACAAACAAATAGAGATGCAACAGAACAGATTACTGTAGTCTTTCTCCCCCGTGAAACCTCCATTGGACTCCTTTTTTTTTCTTTTGGACCATAGTGACATCACTATGGAACACTCGCACTTCTATTGGCTAGCGCTCCAACACATTGTACGTTAAAGGCTAAGGGGCGGGACATCTCTAAGCTGTTGACCAATCACAACAGAGCCTGCCAGCTAACCAATCAGAGCAGACTGGGCTCTGGTTTCAGACAGAGGGTGAAAAGAGGTGCTGCAGCACAGGCAGTATGAGAAAAAGAAAGAGCTTTTTGAACATTAAAGCATGGAGACATGTAGAGACACTAAATACAGATATACACCTGGGGCCGTATTCACAAAGCATTTTATCTTACCGCTAGGAGTGCTCCTAACTCGCGCTAAAACATTTTACGTAGGAGTTTTTTCTTAAAAGTTATTCACAAAGCCGCTGAGACCTACTCATACTAAGGATAAATCACTAAGAGTGAACTAAGAGTGACGCGCCGTTGCTATGGATTACGTCGATTCTCGTGCATGAGTTTAGAAGCGGTCAGTACGGTGATTGGTTGTTCAGAGCAGGCGGTCTCGGTGAAACTCATCCGCAACATCCCACAAACGAGCCCACTAAAGCACCGAAAAACAAGGAAATAGCCTAGGCTAGAAATGTATTCCTATCAAATAGTTATGGACAGTGCAGTTAGCAGAATAC